TCAATTTCGGGTGTGATAAAAAAAGAATCAAACAAAACAGTGAATTTAATACGGATCACCTGCGCGGCATTGCCTTGGCATATGATCGGCTTCTTTGTTTTTGATTTTACATCAATGCTGTTCTATAAGGAACAAATAAAGAAACAAATTGTCTTCCAAATTAAAACTTTCTAGAAAATACATATCATTTGAGAAAAGATTTGAAGATCGTTTTTGATTAATATATTTCTCATGAAACCAAATTTTTGATGTAAAATTTTACTAATCACACAATTATCACAAATTTTCTTGGATAACTAAAACTTAAACGAAATATCTCCGGTAATATTGAAACCAAAAAAACAGACCATATTTTCAATATGGGATCTCGAGTGACATATTTATTATATATTGGGAACTTTATGATTATTGTTTTCAGAATTATAAATGAAAAAGTATATATTGACCAATAAATGCCGCAATGTTTTCTGGAAACCCTGTAGTGAAGGGTTTTACTTTTAAGTTATTTTTAACATTTAAAAAAAAGCAATTTTATAGGTTAGACTGAAAGATGTTGAAATAGAAAGTTGTTAAGATTAAATCATCTTAGAAGTTAACATTGAAGGGGGGGGGAGGTTTTACTTGCAGTTACTTTACGTACTATTGTGGAGCCCCTGATCTGCATACTGCCTCTTCCAGGGGAACCTTCAGATGCTCCAGAACCACCTACAGATTTTTTTTCTGGATCGCCTCAGAAAGTTTATAGATCGGGAACCACTTCCTACTCGCCAAAACCATACACCTGCTCCAACCAGGATTCCAGCAGAGTTGAAGACAGCTGACTTTGCCTTCATTTCGCCATGATGCTGTCACTCCTCCACTGATACCATTGTATCATGGAGCATACAGAGTGCTTTTCAGTTCAGATAAGTTTTTTACCGACTTTAGATTGGAAACCGAGAAGACACTGTTTCAATAGAAAGGTTGAAACCAGTCCTTTTAACCCCTGAAGATTATGTAATGTCGGCTGTACCTCCTCCCCGTGGCCGGCCAAAGAAAGCAACCCCTGAGCTTTCAGTTTTGTCTCAGCCTCTCATCTAGTGGGCCTCCAGCAGGTTCATCAATGCCGTCTTCAACATCTGCTCTTAAGCACTGCCCTCGCAAGAAGACTGATTACCGCCCCTTTTTCCAGCTGAGTATTCCATTTGTAGCAAATACCTACTCCATAACAATTTACTCAAGACGTATCTATCCAGGTCTACTCCTTACCAAGATCAACCAGGACTAACTTCTCACATTTTAAAGGCCACTCAGGCAAAATCTCAACCAAGATTAACTCCCAGGCTCTAAATGACACACAGGCCAAAGTTTCAGCCAGGCTTATCTCCCTGATTCTGAAGGACACACAGTCCAAATTTCAACCAGTCTTACCTCCCAGTTCTAAAGGACACACAGTCCAAATCTCAACCAGACTTAACTCCCCAGTTCTAAAGAATACACACATGTAGCTTGTCTTGTTTACTTGCTATATTCTACACGTAGTCTTATTTAAGATAATAAATAACACTGTTCGCATTTTACCTCTTTTTTAAAAAATTCAAGTTTATCTATTTAATAACACTACTTAAATTACATTCATACAATTGTCTTTATGTATTTGTCAGATTTGGCGGCAAAAAAGGTTAGGGAAGGGTTTGGTGGACGGGGGGGGGAGAGTTAGCGGCAACTTCAGGTGCACATTGCACGAACATAAAAATAACAGTTACCACGAGATTTGATCTGTCATACATCATGCTTTAAAGGGACTGGTAACAGATTTCAAGTGAATCTCCATTTTAAATTCACATCGGAAAGCAAAAATTCATCAAAATTTCCTTGTCTTTTATTTTAAAATTGATCAATTCCAATTGTGGTTTCTATAGTTACTTGCAAGTTGAAAATCTATAAATATGAAACAAAAAGGAAACACGTCAAAATTTAACACTTTGCCAGAAAGAAAAAAAACATTATTTGCAATACCTCATTGTGCTCCAATATAAAGGCCTCATTAATTGCAATACCTCGTTGTGCTCCAGCCTCCAATATAAAGGCCTCATTAATTGCAATACCTCGTTGTGCTCCAGCCTCCAATATAAAGGTCTCATTAATTGCAATACCTCATTGTGCTCCAATATGAAGGCCTCATGATAAAAAATATCTTATTTTATGTATCATCAAATTATTATTTTTTTTATTTGAGGCCGAGTAAAAACAACACAATGCACATGCAAAAGGTCGATCACAATGTTAGAATTTCTTCTAAATAAACTTTTAAATACAATATTTAATTTACAAAAATTTACCCTTTTTAGAAAAAGAGATATTCTACAGTATACTTTTTTTGAGAGTAGATAAATCCACATTTAATCCAATTACGAAGTTTTTATAAAAGTGTTGGTTATTTTTTAAGATAAGTTAAATTGAAGTTATACATATTTAAAAGTAAAAACTGTATCTCATTTTACATAGACGTCATGAATTGTATTTTTACATGACTTTTCTCTTTTTGATTGTATTTTCAAAACTGATTTAATTTTAAATTTTAAAAAATATTTCAAACATGAGGAAGTTTTTTAAGTGATAATTTCGTACGTTTGAATAAAAATGCCTTGTAAAATGTAGTTTATTTCAATATAAATTCTGGCCAATTTCTTGTTGGTCTACACTGCAGAAGTCCACAGGGAGTCGTTTAAAAAAGTTATCTGAATTGTAGTTTGTCGATTTTTTTTGATATAATATAAATTCCATGTGTTTTAAAGTGCCTCAAATTTGATTGCAAGGTTGTATTGTAAGTTTATTATCTCAAAATCTAGCAATTCACGTTCGAATATTCCCTTTCTTATATTCTTTATCCAATTCACTGAATTATATTTGGGTTCCCCCTTTTCTTTGTTTTGAAATGTAGGGATCAAGGGGGGCGGGGTAATACGTGTTGGTTTGAGAGAAAGGGTGGGGTGGAGGGGAAGAGTGATAAGAAAAGTATCTGCTTACTACCATACATACCTATGTTAATAAAAAATTCACCTATTTTTCAGCAAAAAAAGGCATTTTATACGTTCACGGGGAGGGAAGGGAAGGGCTGGAATAGTTCCTTCTAGAAAGGGGAGGGGGGAAGGGGAGGGGAGGGCTGAAATAGTTCTTTTATCAAATTTTATAGCAGAGGTTGTTGCTGGGTGGAAGGAAATTCAGTTTCTTTCGTTTCTATTTTTTTGGTAAAACATTGAAAACTCTTGCAGTAAATGCGCGGATTTTTTTAAAGCAATTTTCGTTTTAAACAATCAATTTTTAAATATAAAACAATGTTTATCCCGGCGGTTTATTATTTGTGATTTACAGGTATCCTGGTTTATTATATGTGGTTTATAGGTATCCTGGTTTATTATAGGTGGCTTAATTATAGGTATCCTAGTTTATCATATGTGGTTTATAGGTATCCTGAGAATTTGAGCCGCGGTTTAAATCCGTCAAAACCCGGTTTAAATTAAGCGCCGGTTTAAATCTTGAAACATTTGATGCAATTTTAAGAGGAACCAACCATATTTAAACCGCGGCTTAAATTTAAACCGCCGCTCAAATTCTTTAAATTCGGCCACTGGTTTATTTTATGTGGTTTATGATATCGCTTAATAGTTTTTTTTAAGTCTGAATTTTAAACTGAACAATTATTATTTGATTTAGATAGATATTAAATCTATTTATTATTTTATATATAGTTTTCTTGTCTGGGTGTCTGTTTGTTTGTTTGTATCCAATAAAAGTCAAAACAGTTGAACCGATCGGGCCAAAAATTTGTGTAGGAGTGGCCTCTCTAACAAATTCAATTTTTTTTTAATTTTGAAAATCCAAAAAATCTATTTTTTTTAATCCGCGAATTTTTTTTTATTTATTTGGTTTTACAATGTAGACGAAGAGAAAATGTTCACAATTAAAATAGAAGATATATTTTGTTATTTTTCTTTCCAGAATTGCAAAATAATAGGACTGTTAAATAATTAGACCATAAAAAAGGTGCACAGTTTTTTATTATCAATTCTGACCTAATTCAAAAACCTTTAAAGCTAAGTTATTAGGGTTCAATTTCTTTTCAACAATAAAAGC